CAGCTCCTGATGTCCTGCCCCAGCGGGCGTTGGCCATCCTGGAGTGTTTGGCACGAGATGGAAAGCCTACTTGCATCAAGACAGCCAAAGCGCTTCGCGTCGCCAGGGTGTACCACGTGCAAACATCCTGCGCGAGTGTGCGCGCAGCGTCCGTGCACGCGCGTGTTAACCCTCAAAAAATGACCCCCTGAGAGCAGGGTTCGGCGGTTGGCGGACATAGAGGGCATGTTTGCGATCAAGTGAGCGGGGTTTCGGTAAAAGCGGGGCCGCCGCCACTTTTCTGCGGGGCTGAGAGGGGATGCCAGGGATGCAGTCTTCGTCTGATTGGCTTTGTGCGCGCTGCACGGAAGCACACGTGCACGGTATTTTCAGTGTTTTTGAAGCTTGGGCGACTTTGCCAGGGATGGCAAGGATGTTTTGGGATCCAAATGCAACAAAACACGTCAGCGGTATACCCTACGGGTAGGGCTGCCCTCGCTCTTTGGAACTACGCGTGCATCATGCAATGGTGCTGGCTTTTACAACACTTTCATCCGCTCCAATTTGGAAGTCGAAAGCGGATTCCATTCCTGATGTTTAAACATATTTTTGCAAGTGCTGTTTTACAAGAACCATGTCCTAAACAAAACACGAGTACTTACAATACAGTATGCTTGAGATTGCTTGAGGTGCACGAAGAATACCACGTGATATACATGCCGCTCCAAACTCATGACCAGCACCGCAGGTGATGATAGGTTTCCCTCAGTTTGCGACGTTGCAACCAGATGGCAATGAACACACGTGCAGTAGATGGTTGGCTTGGTGTTCCATCAAGCATCCAAGGGTCCCGTCTGCTTGGACACCATCACACATTAGAGGCAGGGAGCCCAATCTAAACCACCAGTGGCCAAACAAAAAGAAAGCTTCCAGGTAGGAGCCCCAGCGATTGTGTGATACTATCACATGTAATAAACAAACCGGTATCGTTTGAACTGTTTGATTAGAAGAGATGTCAGGCCTTTGAACCGATTGAAACGCTTGTAAACCCTTCCCAAAAAACAAATGTCAGGGTTTTGATGATTTAACCGGTTTGAACGCTTCAAATGGATAACTGCCAACCCATGGGTCTGTCAATCTGTGGCAATCTTCGTCTCCTAGAGCGTCTTCTTAGCCCCACTGCTTACATCGGCTAAGCGCTTCCTGAGAAGAGATTTTAAGGCCCTGACCGTTACAACCGTTCACATTGGACTGGCTTGACACAATAAGCCAGCACATTTGACGGGGGATAACATATGTGTATATATATATATATATATGTTTCGGGAGGCACTAACTTGCAGCGACGGACAAGCAGCGTTTTAGACATTGGCCACGCGATTGTGGACATCTCAAGCTATGCTGCAATGCCTGTCAAAGGCTGCAATCTCCAGACCTCACTGACTGTCTGCGATAGCTAGGTACCTACTAGGCTGAAATCCATTAGCCTTGCAGTGGCAAGCGCATCCGTGTTCCTCACTCAATTCAGTCAGACTTTCTCGTGGGCTTGGCATCGTAGGAGGCTATTTGGAATTCCCTTGCGGAACTGGGCACGGCGCTCGCTAAATTCTTGGAGTCGAAGAATAGGCGGGCTGACTCTGAGCCCACGCGCGCTAGCGTCCATCCAAGCCGTTGTGGCCTCTTGGACTCACCACAGCGGGCCACCTGGGCCGATCCCGTGTGAGCATGGCTTGCATTGCTTGCATTGCTGCAAGTCAAGTGGCCCTTGCTCACGACAGGTGCGGGTTTTCGCATTGGAACAAACCCGCGGTCCTGAAGAGCACTGAAGGTGTATTCAGCAAACAGTAGGCAATGCTCTCGGACCTTGCCAACTTCCTCAATGGCTGCCCCGCTCGTCAAGTTGTCCCTGGCAGTTGTGGTGAGACCTGTCTTACAATGCTTACAGTTTCAGATACGGTGCCTCGCTTCAATGTACTTGCGTCCGCCGTGAATAGCCTCAAGGACTCAAGGCACAGTGGCAATGCAAAGCTCTCCCCAGGGGTGCGGCATCAACTTGCGACTGGCAAAGTATGTTCATGCTCTCCTGAGAACGGAGTCAGCTCAAGCAGCTCACAATTGATAGCTGAGAATGCTAAGCGGGCAGCTTTGCCAGCCTGGACTTTGCGCTTCCCCAGCTCCTGCACCAATTGCACAGAGCTTGCATGAAACGGATGTCTATCAAACCCACAGTCTGACATGACACAGGAAGCCATCTGAAACTTCTTGTGAGGGGAGGCAGGGAGGGAGGGAGGGGGTAGAAACAACAAGCTGGGAATCTTCCCCAGCAAATCTTCCCCAAGTGCAGAAAGGTTTTTCGGGCCCGATCATTCCTTCAAGCCCGCCAGCCCGCTCCAGGCCTCGGGGTTAGGGCGCGAGGAAGAAAGACCTGCACTGCGTTGGTTCTCTCCTCTTTCTGTGTGGCACTCGCACCTGGGGACTCTGCATTGGCCTGCCACAGACTGCAGTCTAACCAGCGGGAAAGGCCAAACGCTTAAACGATATGAAAACCACAAAAGAAGTGTCAGAACAGGCGAAACATGTCAAGCAACGACGGCAAAGGCCTCCCTGGTTCCAAGGATGTGATGCACTCCTCGCGGAGCAGTCAAAACAACCATGGTGACTATCCAACTCCTGAGGAGCAAAGCACCCTGAGCACTCTTTCTTCGAGGATTTGGACACACATTGGAGCTCATGTTGTGTCAATGTATTCTCTTCGGACACGATGGCTCTTCAGTCTCAGAAACGTCCACGGCAAGTATTGGCCACGCTTTTGTACAGCGCCCCACGTAGGTTTTTGGACAGGCCCCTTGTATATATTCCCCATAGTTGTGGGTTTACATCCAAGTAGGCTTGCAGTTGTGGGTTTACTTCCAAGGCTTGCGTCACAGCAGTCCACACAAGCACGAGTGCGCAATGCTCTCAAGCCTGGCGACCGTAGGTTTGGAGTCAGCGTCGGCTTCTCACAGACCTGGCATGGCGATGCAACGAACCTCTCGTGCCATTCCGTCTGTGGCCTCCGCCACTGGGGATACATTTTGTAGGCCGAAGTGTCGCAGCTCCGTCATACTCAGGTATGCGCACGGCAAAAACGAGCCTGAACCCACGGAAGTCGAGGGCCGCACCGCATCAAGGACAGCTTTTCAGCCACATGTTTTGCAGTTGCCCCCTCTCGCGTCAGTGACACGGCCTGGCAAACAGGGAACACACACACACACACGCACGCACGAGCGAGTCATTCTGACCGTGTTTGCTTGCCATGGGCCTGCAGGTCCAAGGCACGCACAACCCAGTAGCTGCCATTCATTCCGATCATGACCTTCGCCATCATTGACATGATCTTCTGTGGATTCCTGAATTGCAAACCTGGCCTGGTCCCATCTCTTTGGGTCCACGACATGGATTCCATAGACCTCTCGAAGCCACTCCTGCTGAGGCCCACAGTTTCTTCCATGCACATAGGTGGCTGCACAAACTCCTCGACCGCACCCTTCATCTCTGCAGTCGAAGGTGCTCTGGGGGCCTGAAGGCACGTCTCCGACAGGGACCATTTCTTCAATGCCGGTGGTCAAAGCCTTTGCAAGAAGGCAAGCAGTGAAGAAGGGCAGCAGTCAGGCAGTCAAGCAAATGCCCGCGATGCATAGGAAGACGGAAGCACTCAGCCTTTCTGTAAATGAGCACACAAATGTGGACTAGTGCAATACATATGCATGGTCAGGACAGCCACGAGTACATCTGAAACATCCCTGCTTTGCAAGCCTCATAACTTTCAGCCTCTGAAGGGCCTTTCCAGGCGTCCGCTGCTACCCTGCGTCATAGTCTCAGTCCCACATGCTCATGCTTTGACATGCCTCATGTGTCTCACAATGCTATGCAAAACATTCAATATCAGATCGCGCCTTGGGGAAGGTCCCCGAGGAACTGGGCCGTGCCTTGGTTCACTCGGTTTCACTGTCTGGCACAGGACGGTGTCCTTCCATGAATAAAAACCTGCCAGCCCTGTGCCTGCACTGCTTTGCCAAATCGAGGATCGGGCGAACCCCAAAGTCTATCATCTAACTCTGCATCTGGCTGATCAGACAAGTCAAGGGTCTCCTCGCAAAGCGAGACCCACCCATGCCAATGCTGCCAATGCTGCACGTGTGTGTGTGTGTGTGTGCGTGCATGTGTTCCTGTGCCCGCTGATTGTGGCGTCTTCCGTACCCATGACGTCCGGCAAATGGTACAGAGGTACCTGATCCGCCCAAATGCCCCCTGAAGCCAAGCAAAAATGGGACGGCCTGCATCTAGCATGTGCTCCTGGTCAGCGGTGCCCACACAGAGCGCATTTCACATTCAGTGCACCAAGTGCCGTTCCAACACGCCACAAGCGCATTTGACATACATCTAGCACTCCAGGTGTGCTATCAGAGCAACTCTTGCGTCTGGTGTTCGAGGTCGAAACAAGTTGGAAACGAGAGGCCCCCAAACATTCTGGCCCCGACGCACACTCTGCATCACGTCCTCGCAACCAATGTAGCGCCTGCCCCCTGATGGAGGCAGGGCCCCGCCATGCGCTGCCTGCGCATAGCAATTGCATTGCATTGCATTGCATTACATTTATACATACATATATTACATACACAAATACATACACAAATACATACACAAATAGATACATACATACATACATACATACATACATACATACATACATACATACATACATACATACATACATACATACATACATACACACATACATACATACATACATACATACATACATACATACATACATACATACATACATACATACATACATTACATATATACATACATACATACATACATACATACATAC